TATTTTATTTCATTGCTCTTATGTCAGCACTGCGAGTGGTTAGTAGAGATTGTCACTGTTCCAGTTCTCTAGGCAGAATTTAAACACGTAATTTATTCCAAATATAATACTGTGATAAACTTTTGTAAAGTTTGTGCCACACTCTAAAATTGCAGTTGAATCTATTTAATAGTTTGGCATGTTATGCCTTTGCTCAGTCTTAGAACGAGGATGCTGTAAAAGTTGCATTTGTGTGAAGTCAACACAGTGAGCGTCTCTGGATCTGGCTTCTGTTGATATTATGATTTTATTCTGACTCTGTTCTGACTTTGTCCTACAGTCTGAAAAATTAGGTCTTAGTGATTGAAATTAAAAAGGCTTGAATTCTTTTTCATTTTAGTACAGTTATTCTGACTAATTTAATATCCTCAATTTAAAGTTGTAACCCAGGGCGTTGTCCCACTAATGTAGGTTCTAAACACGCAGGGCAGGAGACATTCCATGATCAAGGGGAATTTAAATAGATTATTCCTTACTGAGTTTTACTCAATGATAGCTACTTTTCAGTTGCCTTGGAGGTATTTTCTCTAAAGATAAGCATAAATAATTTTTATTAAATTAGTTTGATACAACATATAAAATAGGAAACAGAAAATTGCAAAGTAATATAACAGTAATAAATAACTATTATAAGTAATGTTACAAATAAAGTACCAATAAATAAGTTATAAAGTAAAGTATTATATAACATAAACTACTACATAGCAAAATAGCAACATAGAAAGGAGAGGCCAAGGGGACCATGTTTGTTCAGCCTGGAGAAGAGGCTGAGGGAAGATGTAATTCTACTGTCTGAAGAAGGGTTATAGAGAAGACAAAACAACATTGTCTTTTTCAAGGGTGCATAGCAAAAGCACAAGAGGCAACGGCTACAGCTTGCGGAAGGGAAAGTGCTGACTAGACATATGGAAAATACTTTGCACAGAGAGGGTGGTGAAACAGCGGACCAGAGAGATGGTGTAAGGTCCATCCTTGGAGATGTTCCAAACTCAGCTGACACGTCCCCAAGCAGCCTGAACTAGCTTTGAAGTTGGCCCTGCTCTCAACAGGGAGTTGGACTAGATGTCAGCCAGTCACCCTTTTCCACTAAGTTTGTGGAGCTCTTGCCTAAGCTCCCACTCCTTCTGAGGGATTTCAGAGTTATTTTTTGTCCTACCAAGTTTAGTTTGCATGCCCCAAATAAGCGAACACAGGTATCTCCCTCCTTCCCCATCTCAAGGAGCTGCTTTTCTGATAAGTGGATCAGTGTGGTTCAGGTCACCCAAGGGGAGAGGATCGTGGCTGGCACCAGGGCTCAAGAGGATCAAGAGAGTCGCTGAACCTGTGGTAGCCCTGAGATGGGGACTCCCTTAGGAGATACCTAAGCCCTGCCTCCTCCACCTTTATAAAAGGAAAACCTCTTCTGCAGCTGTAAGCAAGTGTTAAAGACCACAGTGACCTTTTCCACAGGGAAATCACTAATTATGCGTATTTTCAGTTGCATTAATGGAAACTTGAATCTTAGCTGCTCACAAAGGTTGCAGTTGTCTCTTGATGAGGAAGATGTGGAAAATTACCCTCATTCACTCACAATCAGTAAAACTAACAAGCAGGATGATATGTTAAGACAGACTTATTTCATCTGGACTGCCCAAACTGCTGTGCAGTATAATGTATATGCTAATGAACGGTAATTTACAGCTAAGGAAATTCAAGAAACAGGCTATTTTTCTAGTTTGTGTACAGACTCCATCAGTCGGTCACATTGTTAATTGGTGGTGCAGTATACTGACAATACAAATTCAGGGCATGCCAGTTACGCTGATTCTACCATAATATACACTTCATAAATTGATACACATTCTTCTTAATTCAGAATTAACATTTTCTTTCTTCTAGTTCAGTCTTGTACCAGTGTGCCTTTAGTAAAATGCAAATGAAGGCACTTTTCTGTAGGAAGTAGAGTGGTGAAACGATAACAAATCATGGCTGGTAATTCTGCATTGCTGAGAGCTGGAGTTGAGGTTTAAGCTGAATTGTAACGGACAATATTTTTCCCTCCATGACTTAAATTATAATAATACTGACTATATATGCTGAATACCTTCTTCCATGATCTTTGAAGAATTTTAGAAGGATGGGTAGGAGTAGTTATCTTGCAGTAGGCAGGAGTCGAAGTTGCCCAACACTGCTGCGAGCTCAGAATTGCTGGCCTCAGAGCCATTATTTAAAGAAAAATATTGAATAGCCATTTGCCCAGCTGGGCACATTAAAAGAGTTAAGTAATTCCACATAGTAGAGTTGTAAACACCAATATTTGGGTAAAATATACATAAGCAAAGAGTCTTTGATAATTCTAGACTCCCACAGATGATGTTAGCATCCTGCCTGCCTAGCCTATCTTTACAAAAAAAGCTCTGTGTACCTGATAAGGCAACTCTAAGCCATATATTTAAAGATCACTAGGACCTTTTCCATAGGGAAGCCTTTAAATATAGAACTTATGGGACAACAAAACAGGAAGAAAAAAGACTAAATCCTGGTGCAATGCACAAACCTGGAGCAGTTCTGATGAAAAAAAACCTTAATAACTTTCATATGCAGAAAGCATTTCTGAAGGAGTCTAAAAGCAGCCAGCCTCAGACAGTAGCAAGTATTACACAGCTAATGTTTATATGATCCCCCCCGTCAGTGAGGGCCCACCTGAACAGTTCGCAAAATGAAACAGTATTGATGCACATTTTAAGTTGTAATTCAGCATGCTGGTATCAGATTTACCATGACTTTGAGCAGGAAGCTATATGGAGGTATCTGTAGCATTTATTTTTTGGACGCCCAGAATTTTAAAACACTTTGATTATCCTCCTCTTGTGAAATTGCTTTGGTATGCAGAAGCTTACAAGAAATGGTCAGTTCTGTCATGTTTTGTTCACTTATTTCCAGCTGAAAAATTAAAACATACCCTGGATTTCTACTGCAGGGTTTTATTTAGCTGCCCATGCTACACAGATTTGCACACATTGTTCTAACATGCCACAGAGAATCAAAATTTTTTGAAAATAAATTATCTCTGTCAGGTATGCCAAAGTTTTAAATCAGTTACAATGGAGACAATTTAGAACAAGAAGAAAAAAAATCAGTTTTCCTATTGCATAATATTCATAAATGTTGCCATAAATGTTATTTATAGGACTGGTGTGAGTCTCAGGTATTCACTTACAAGGTAGACAGACAATCTCCCATGAGTATCTCTTTTAAAAATGTATAAATAAGAAATTTTTTGTTCGACAGTGGCTCACACCTGATTAACCTGAAGACAGAAGAAGTAAATATAGAAGACCATGGAGGTCCTGGCTACATAAGTAACTTCTGATGATTCATGGGTGGTTTAACATCTGAGATTTCTGTAGCAGAAGTCTTCCAACAGGAACTAACTTAATAACTTATATTGTGAATAGATTGCTCTCATTTGAGAGCAAAATGCTTTTAAGGCTATTCTCTTAAAATCTTTATTTTTACATTTAAGTTTCAAAACATCCCGTATTTGTATTCTGATTGCAAACACATACATGCAGAAGTTCTAGGAGAAGTCTAAAAGTCAAAAAGGCATTTCAGCTGTAATTCACATTGGGAGGACCAGGGAGGAGCTTAAAAATACCCATATGCATTGCCAGAAATACTCAAATGGGTTCTCGGCTAGAGTAGGAGGCAACGCAATTCAAACGACAAATTTTCTTTAAAGCTTGGAGAGAACAGACCATCATCTATCTTCAGATGTGGTGACCAGAGAAATCTTTCATTCAATGTGCCTCATATTTTATGAAACCATTTTAGACTGAATTGTACCCAAAGGCTTTCAAGATCAGCTGAGTGGGTTTTCTGCACACATAAGCAGACTTAGGGCATACAAAAAATGGAGAACAGTGTACTTTCATCAGAGTAGGAGCCAACAAATTCATTCAGAGTTTGAGAGATGGAAGTCCCTTTTCCTTCTCTGTTCCTGGTGGGAGCTCTACACAGTAAGCAGAGGCTCTAGGGGTGTGCCCTATCCTCTCTATTACATTTATTAATTAGAAAACAACAGAGAGGGTGTTTATATTGTATGGGTGAGCCCCGTCACACAGCATTACCTGCATGTCACCGCAGAACTGGGTTTTGCAGATCTGGGATTGCCAGAAATGTTGAAGTTGACCCCATCCATGGAAACATGATTCATCGGGCCAGGGAGAGAGCAGGTGTAAGAATTTATTTCTGAAATTATCTACCCAAAATAGGTATAAATATTTTTGAACACGTAAAACATATTGGAAATGCTATTACACAAAGAACCATTACAGACTGCTAAATATAGGTGCAAACTTTTCTAATAACCAAGCTTCAACTCAAAGAACTTTTAGATGCATTTCATGTAATTGTGAAATACATAGATATATGGTTTCAAAAATAATTAAACAAATTAAAGGAACAAAAATCAGTCGAAGACTGTTAAATTCAGAAGGCAATTTCTCTGGCACAGGCAGTCCTTCAGCCAAACTGCTGGTGGAGTTTTCCAGGGCAGTATCACTAAGTACGTGCCCTGCTTAAACAATTCCCATAATCACTGTCAGAGACAGGCCAGTGGGCTAGATAAACATCTTTTCACAGGAGTGGATCTGAATAAAAACTTTAGATTCACTTCTGCAGTTGTCAATCATATCTTGGCTTTTCCATACAAGAAATGTAAGGAAAAGGGGGGTTTTGAGTAGAAACTATGTTGTGCCACTGTGTACCTGGGTCTCTCTCAGCTTGGGTGGGATCAGTGTCTATACCTGGAAATTCAGAGGTCTTTTTGTCCAGAAACATAAAGGTTGCTTATGTAGTTTGCATGTATAAGCACAAAAACATCCAAGCTGCTTCCTTTCTGAATTATCTGAATCTTCCCTCACATATTTCCAACCTAGTAGGCAAATCCTCACCTTTCTTTTTTTTCATATAATTTTTAGGACTATCAGGAAGCTTCTAATTTGGAGCAGTTTGTGACTCGCTTTCTTTTGAAGGAAACGCTGAACCAGCTTCAGTCCCTCCAGAGCTCCCTGGAGTGTGCCATGGAAACCACGGAGGAGCAGACTCGGCAGGAGAGGTGAGCAAACCTTCTGCCCAGCTGCAGTGAAGGGGGTGAGGAGTGGGGTCACCGTGAACCTCCAAGACCATTTTACATTTCACCCAGCAACCTGATGTAGGGAATACCAGAAGAAATAAGGATACACTTTTTATTCCATATAGGAACTCACTAATAGGAGTTTTCCTGAAATTGAATACAAGCAGGCTCCAATCTGATCCTGTGGTGGGTTGCACATAGGAGGACCATTTTGTTACATCCCAGGCCCTGCTCCTTTGACTTCTTTTTAAGTCCATTGACTATTTAATATCAAATGCAGAAACCAGACCACTGCAATGTGAAGACCTCTGAAATTACTAAGACCACTGACTGCCTCTTTGTTTTTTTTCTTCTGGCTTTATGATTTTTTTTCATTCCTGGTTGCACAATGATCCCAATGTTAAGAGGAGAAATAGCCGGCCTCTTGCTTGTTACAGCTTCTTCCTAGAACATAGGGCCATAGTATTGGTATTGGTTAACATCTAACTCTATAAACTCTCAATCACCTGGGTAACCAAGGGGTTTAGCTGAATTTAATACCATGACATCATAGATGATGGTTCATAGGATCAAGGATCAAAACATTTTTTAAAAGGTACTTGGCTTTATGGATTTTTTTTCTTCAGTATGCTATTGTCAAAGATGATAGGGAAAGCAAAATACAAGTTGTGTTTCATGGACAAAGAAGATCTCAGCACTTCATATGTTTTAAAATGTATTGCTTTTTCATTCTTTCTTTTGGAAATGTCATTTCCTTGTTTGTTTTGCTGTTGGTTTTGAGATCTCTGAAGTACATGAATAATACACTGGGGTTTTGTGCCAGCAGCTTGATCACAGGAATCAAGCGGGTTTTGAAAGGCTGAGGGTGTGCCGAGTATGCGTACTATATATACCCTTCCATTCATGCACACATCTTTCCAGGTTCCCCACACAACTGATGGGAGAGAAAGAAGTCTTGAATGGCCAGTTCAGAGCTGGAGCCTAACTTAGGTGCTCTTACATCTTCTGGAGTAATCATTGACTTCTTCTCTGACTTGCCTTTTAGGACAGCCTCTCTAGAAATAATCTAGAAAGACTATCTGAGTAGCTCAAACTACTCACTTGGGTGCGTAGAATTGGGTGATATGAACATCCCTTTTGCTGACAGCTTTCTTGACTGCACTGACTGTCTGGTAGAGTGGAGACTCTCTTGGGGAGACTTCTTTCTCCAGTTTTATCAGTACAGTTGTTCAGAAATATCCTCTTGGGTGATGAATTTGGTTTACGGCAAAGAAAATGAGAAAGACGTGTGACACTGTTAAGCCAAATACCATCTTCCCCATTTTCTGAGGTAGCAATGGCAAAGCAAGGCAAACTCGGCACTTTAACTACAGCTATTTTGGAGAAAATGAGTTAGTTCCTAGTGCAGATGTCCCAGTCCCTATGTAAAATCATCTTCAATTATGTTTAATTCAACTCAGGGGCAAACTGTCTGAATCAAAATCCCATTAAGACACTCCTAAACTAATTTAAGAATGCTCACAGTGGGGAACTACCATAATTTGGCTTACTGTGGAGGGATTTTATGCTGCAGAAAATACCATCCTAAAACATCTCCTTAACATAGTGTGTGAGCTTTTGGTGAGCCTTCATTCTGTGCTTCAGGAGACCAGAGAGCTTTCTAAAGCAGTGACCTGTGAATTATTTACTGAACTGTTCAGACTATTGTCTAATATTCTTTGCAACCACTCATCCAACTAACTGTTCAAAACTAACCATAGCCTTGGTCCTTCACTGCTCTCCAGCTGGATGACGAAAAAGAACCACGTAGAGACAGCCTTCAGTCCGCACACAAACTCTCAAGCTTCAATGACTCTGTCATCACAGCACAAATATAATTCATTTTTGTATCTGCTATGTTTCAATACTGGTCCCAGAAACATATCTGTCCTCCATCCAATATTAGTTAATTCTCATCGGTTTTCCTTCCGTATTAACAGATACATGTTGCTGTTTATCTTTTCAGTCTTTATCTGAAGGAGTCAAAATTTAAAGTTCATATCTCACTTTTAGCTTTTCTTGTGACCCCAGCTCTTCTGCAGAGATGCTATGAAACTCCTAGGAATGAAGAAACAGTGTGAATGGTTCCTTAGGTCAGGCCAGAACCGCATCACGGACAGACACTGACCTCAAGCTTTCTCTCCCTAAAAGATAGGTTTAATGCCAGCTTAACCGTCCTTTTTTTTTTACTTCTCTAATGTCTAGCAACCTATACACAACTAATTAGTAACAGTGAAAATCTGGAAAATAATTCAGTGGTCTCAATAGGTATTTCTCCTTTTTTAATTCAAAAGGGAACATACAAGAACATTTTTTGAGAACAGAGAGAGGAAAGCTCTCCCACGTGTTTTACCTTATGAAGTCTCCTGTGTTTCTGTGCAGACAAGATCCAACAAAACCAGAAGTGCTCTCAATTCAATGGCCAGGAAAACGCTCAGCTCGAAGGCTTCAAAGGAACAACAGCCTGTTGCCAAATAGCCCTCATTTTAGCACAGGTATGGTATTTCACATTTTAAAGATATTTAAAACATGTGCATACACACATATATGCAGAAAAATATACATGTATCTTCCTCTCAAACATTTAATTTAGACATGGTAACTAACTCAGATGCTTTACTGACAGAAATCAATCTTCAAGTTAATATAGAAGGTATTAGCTCAAACTGTAAGGAAAATAAATATGTACCCATAGATCTGAACTGATAAAAATAAATACATAACTATGGGCCAAACTGTGATATTGTTTTGGGTCTGTGGGTTGATTCAACATTTCTTAGGTAATATTTGTAGCCTGCAGATAAGAAGGAAAAGGTGAAGGCTATAACTTATACAGAACCACGTTCTCTGTCATGACTTACATCCCAGCTGAGGGGAACAAACAAGAAACAGAAAGGGAAAATACAAAACCTGAAGGAAAAAAGATTTAAGGTGATATAAAAAAATCTGAAACAGCATTTCTGCTTTGGAAAACGTGAGAGCGTACTTTGATAAACGGGATTCTTTGGAAGCAGTGACATTGTGCACGAGGCTGCAATGAAAGCATCTCCAGGCTTAGTGATGTCTCCCAGAATCAAGGCATGAAGATGTCTGAAACACTGAAGTACGTGAAGGGTCAAGCCCACTTCTTGACCAGTCATGCAGATCTCACTACTTGCAGCCACGTGCTTACCTCTTCCTTTTTAACCCTCTTTTGAAGACCCTTCTGTCACTCACCAAATGATGCTCTTCATTCAGTGCAATGATGCAGGATCTTTGGTCCCTTGCTGTGAGTTGCTGGTGTTCATGACAAGGAAGGCCACATAGCCTTGTTGCTGCACTCCTAATTCAGAGAGTTCAGAAGGAACCCAAACATATGCAAGCTGTACCAAATCCACTTACTGTACTAATGTAATTTTAAAGAGGTAACATCTTTCTCCACAGCTATTCTAATAGCTGTCCAACAGCTGTCTACTTTCTTAGACAAGATTTGTGTTTGTCTTGGCACTTGGTCTTCCTCCTTACTGCCTGCTGCCCACATGCACAGCAACACCGTAGGTGTGGATATGCGCTCAACAGTCAAGCCAGCATTTCTTTAGCCTTTGTACTTGTTCAGGTAAAGCCATACTCTGCCTCCTCTACATATCACACCTGTGGTACATCCCCAGCATTAGTATTTCCTTGTTTGGTCAAAACATAGTCTAAGTGCCACAAGAACTCTCAGCTGGAAAATGAGCAGGTTAATGAACGTGCATATCAAGAGCATGTGTTGAAAAATTTTCAGTTTCTGATAAACAACCTTCCTCTCTCCTTAGAGCAATCACTTATGTACACATTTGCACTGTGGGTGATGCCAGGAACTGCTCTCATAATGCACGTATCTCTTTCCTTGAGTGTTGTCCTTTCCATCTGATTGATAGACAATTTTCTTGAGACTTTAGCAAAGCAAAATTTTCCAGAGACTTTAGAAAAGCTCAGAGATGCTTGTGCCTTTGTAGAACATTTTCTAGCTTCACCTTTGCTATATGACATCAGATCATTATACAGCCAGGAGTATGACTCCAGTAGAGATGGAGAGCTAGGAAGTCTTCTGACAGGGTCATGTCCTATCCATATAAAGAGACAAGACACAGTTAACATCCAGTGTCTTTAGTCCTTCCTCTGCTGCTGAATTCCATGACTTGGGAGTAAAATAAACATAGGAAAGTTACTATGATGAAACATAATCAGTCTTGTGTTGGTCAAAATCTGCAGTCACCACAGGCATAAATTATACATCTCAAAACCAAAATCTCATTCTAGAAAAATCTAGTGTAGGAAGGATCAGTCTTAATAATCATATTGCTGCAATTCATCAAGCACCTAGGAACACTGCTTGGTTGGAAAGGTAAAGAAGGATCATTAGCTGCAAGGGACATCCAGTTAATGTTATTAAATCAGCTATAGAGTCCACTGCAAGATTATATCCATAATTAGTGGATGAACACGTAAAAACCCCTAAGACAGCATATTGCAGATGTCTGTAACAAAGCTGAAACCCCCTCAGAGTGTAAGTATAAAAACAGCTGTTGCAGCTAAATGAACCTTTTCTGAATGAAGAGAAAGCCTCTTATTCCCAATGCATATGAGATGTTCTATGATTATGTTAGGAGGCTCCTTCAGGCATCCCTCAATATCGGGATTCCTCAACATGCCATGCCAGAAACCTAGGTCATTTAGCTGCACATGTACACCCAATTAGCTCTTTTCTGCTGTTCCTAAGAATGTATTTTTTTATTGGGAAGGAACATACATACTCAACCTTTGAGTAATCCTGGAATCCTGCTGGAAGCACTGTGTCAGGACCCTAAGAACAACAACAGGCTGACCATGGCAATGTCCTCGCAGTTGGGGCCCTACAGCAGGTCTGCCGTCTCTCTGCAGGAGGAAGAAAGATCCTATTGCCTAAGCTGTATTGGCCATGCCAGGATAGTTAAGACAGTCTTGACTGCATTTCTTTCACCTTCACCAGTGCTCTCAGGGGAAAGAGGAACTGCAGAAAAGAGAGACCACATGGTCCCTCCACGGGATGTATCTGAAAGGAATTGCAGAGACAGGCTTACTATGCAGCAGAAGAGCTGACTCTTACTTTTATAGAAACTTTCACATGAAGAAGATTAAGAAATGGCAAACTAAGAAAAGTGTTAAGACAGAGAGAGCTCTAACACACACACAAGTTGATTTTGCATTTTGAGCAGAAGGTGCTCAGGTTATGAGCTGGTTCCACCTGCACAGAGCGTTCCTTTCTTCAGGTATCAGCATAATTTCAAAAGCACTGGCATTAACCTAGAATGTAATTTTCGTTCTGTGTTGGATTTCTGTTCTATCTTAGAAAGAAAGAAAACAATTCATACAGTAAAAATGCTTTCCTTTAGTTACACCTAAATGAACATTGAACTAGTTGCAGCACAATCTTCGAGAAGCAAAATAACTTGCAAGCTAAGCTAAACTTTTTTATAAAATAAGTCAATACGCTATGTTCCAGCACTTAGTAACATTTTATACATGTTCATTATTTGTATTTTCCAAAGGTTGGATTGAGGATGACAACCAGTGGAACACCCAGATAAACAGACTCCAAAAGCTGATTGACAGGCTGGAAAAAAAGGTGTGTATTTCTTTTCATCTGTTTGTTCTCTCATTTTCAGTAAAGCAATCCTTAAACCACAGATGCTTTCAATGTCTCAGTCACAATCTTTCCAATCAATAATGAGTGAAACTTCAGCATCACCTAAGAGAGCTAACACTCATTAAATGCCCATGTATTCCTTTAACCTTCTTCTTCCCTATTTCATGAAAGCATGACATGGTTTTCCCAAGCTCCTCTTTCCCCTTCCCATCACCATAAATCCAGTTTTTTATAAAGATCTGAAAAGTCACATTATTCTATGACTGGAGGATGTTATTGTATTTAGTTATGCTTGTTTTGGGGAATGTGGAACAACCCTCTATTTTTAGGATCTGATTTTTTTCTCTTCCTCTCCAAACTTTCCCACTAAAGCTTGACAGAAAGTTTTGTTTCCTCTTTCCCCATCAGAGAATACTAATTTATGAAGATTAAAACACTTTCCTGATAATTACAGTTCAACCAAAAGATGGTGCAAATCTCACCATCCTGCCTGGGAGCCATGGGAGCTGCCCCAGCTCCGCGGCTGCACCAGCCCCCAGAGCTCTGAGACCGCCTGCAGTTCCCAGGCAAAGCAGAGCCCTCCAGGAGTCTGACAAATGACCCATCTGACCCAACGATACCAAGGCTTCCCAGGGCTTGTAAAAATCTGGGTAACATCTGTCTGTACAGAAAATATCTATTTCTTTTGTTTTCAATCAGATTTATTGCTACCTTAGGCTTTAAAAGTTGGTTTATGTCTCTGTGTGGTGACTTTTTTTTTGGAGAAGAAAGAAGAGCAGAGGAAAAAGTAAGGTGTAAAATCCTGTGTTGTTCTCTACATAAAGTGTCCCTATTGAAGGACAGACAGACAATTTCAGACAGGTGCTAAGGGAATGGCTGAATTCACTGGATTTGGGGACCCAGGGGATTTCTTCCTCCTGGTCCACTAGAGGCGACGTTTTTGGTTGAAGCGCTCTCAGACACAGGAGGTGCTCCAGACCCAGTGCAGCTGATGCTGCCCTTCCCTGCAGGTCAGTGCTCACCAGCGGCGAGGCTGTGCATGTACTCCAAAGACATGGATCCACACACACCGGCACAGGTGCCTTCACCAGCACCTGCAAACAGGCAGGCAGCACTCGGGGAAACATGAACATGCACAGGCTGATCCTGTTCCTTCTTTCCAGCTGATCAGGGTGGACTTTCCCTGTGAACGTTATCATGGGCTTCAAGTCCATCTAGTATTTGTGGCTGGACCCATGCCCCTTACCTAGGCATTGGCTTAGACCTTGGATCCTGGCAGACAAGTGTCTCCTCCTACTCACCCGCTAGTCCAACTTGAGTTCAGTAGCAAATTATATACCTAGAAAATAGTTAAGTAAGGGATTTAACAAGAAGACAGAATAAACGGTGTTGATCCCGCACAGGGCTCAGCAAGACAAGCATGCTGACTTTTCTCTGCCATTGCTCCCTCCCAAATGAACAAACCACCCCTAATTATTTTTCCCCTTTGGTCCCAGTTTGGGACCAAAAGTTGGTATTTCTGTTATCCCAGCCTTATTACTGATCAGCTACATTACCAATACGGTCACTCCTGGCACTGCTGGCCTTGCAAGACTCTGCTCCCAAAAGGAGCCCAGTACTCCCTTTGGTTACCCCTGAGGTCTGACAGTCTTTCACATCACTTCTCCTTAACCAGCCATGAAATTTGGCCATTCCTTGTGGCACCGTCTGTAACTTCTGTCAGCTTCTCACTCTGTTCCTTGCTATGCCCAGCAGCTCCTCATGGTCTGCTCAGTCCATTAAGCCTCTGGCCAGGGCATACTCATCTGCCTGCACACAACAGCTTCCTCCCAGAGGTCATTTCTGCATGAAAAAAGCAATTACACAGCAGTTGCCACGTTAATGACATTTGAGTAGAAACTTGATTTTTTCTGAATAGCTATAAATTGGATTTTGAAATGTCAAAGTCCATCATGAAATGTAACTCTCGCTTTTGGTTCAGCTTTACTCCCAGCTCTGCTTTGGAAGCAGCAGCTCGCTGGCCTGCCACAGTGACCTCCCGATACAGACTTATGCCACAAGGAGTTTAAGGAAACTTAATATTTAAAAGAATGTTACTGAAAAAGAAACCTGGCATACAGCAATAATGCAATGCAAACATTACAGAAAGCAGCCAACCATTTTGTAGTAAATAAACTTACAAGGATGTTATAAAATAATCAAATCTGCTACAGATAAATGACAGAGAACCTCAGTTTGAAAAGGAGCTCAGTGCCAAAGGGAAACAGTGGCAGGGCATAGACGTTCCATAATTATCTCCTTATCAATGTAAAACTTGATTAATAAAACACAGCAATTAGACAAACCTACTTTTGCCAATAGACAGACTATATCCACCTTTGCCTAACTTTGCATCTGCTTGACTATGTGTCTCACGGCCAGGTCTAACTGTGAGAGGTGAGAAGTTCACCATTTCTGCAGCTTCTCCAGGGCTACCTCCTTTGGTTGTTCTTCTCTTGGCACTTCTTTCAGGCCTCTGTGAACTAAAAAACCCAATTTACTAGCCATGCAACTTAGAAATCATAAAACTTCTGGTCCTATGAAGTACCCAAAGGCCTATTAAAAAGACTGTGAGAATTCTTTTATACTAACGGCATCCCCTCTTGTGCTCATTTTATTAGATCTTACACTTCATTATGGTAGGAGGAGCTCCCTGTGATCCATGTTTAAACAGCATCTAGCAAAACAGTGTCTGGGTCATGAGTGGGACAGGCACGTATTGCAAAAAGGATGTCGGTGCCTCTTAGCAGTAGGAGACCGTCAGCCCATCTACTCTGTTCCAAAGCAAAGTCAAGAACAGGCAAAGTCAAGAAAAAGCAAACGTGATCACTTGAATGATCACTGACTTCAGACTGAAATGAATTAGACAGAAACATCAAGTACCGACCAAGTGGTTGGTCACCACTTCCCACCTGGGATGAGGCTGTTACATATGCCATCTCTCAGCAGCAACTTAACCATTTTTAGCCCAGATGATGCTCCAGGTTAACCCACCACATCCAACCAAGTGTTACAATTCAGCTATCTTTCAGCAGCTACTAAAACTTCTTTTTGACTTTGCCCTGCAGCAGATTAGAAGGATCAGACAATCACACTAAGAGGCAATTCCAGAAGCGACCACTTCTCAGCTGAGGTGAGGTAGGACTGAGGCGGCACTGTAAAGCCTCAGCTCTGAGCTGCAGTCTTGGTCAGTTTTCATTTCCAGGCTGCCTGATAACTGTCTGGCAGGAGCTCTCATCTTCGCATTGGGCAACTTCGCTCACGCTCAACGTCTGGTCAGCCGATGCCTGAGCGCTCTTTCCACACGGATGAGGACTGTGTGCCAGTGCTCTCTGAGGTCACAGCAAGCTGTCTGTGTAGACTTACCTCATCTGTGTAGTCATGCCCTGTCTAATGACATAATATTACTGAAGAACTTCTACAGATTATTTTTAACTTCTTGAGGTGGCCAGGAAGTTATCCATCAGTGGTTCCTACTGGAAAACCACCTGTTGAGTCGTTGATTTAGTGTTGTCTAACTCTTCTGCTGTCTTCTGTCAAAGGTGAATTTAACCATGACTCAGTCTCTTAAGTCATCTTTTTTTTCTCAAGTTCTAAAGGTATATATACCGGAAAAAATAGAATTCTTTTCTTGCTACCTTAAGAGGAAGTTTGCAGTACAACTTGAGTCATTCCTTTCCTCTCTTTTTCCATACGTTTCCCTAGGAAAAAATTGCACTGAAAGTACAGAAGAACCACAGGAATATGCATCTTCCCTCAGGGTTTTTATCTGAAGTATCTGCACTAACAAATGAGCTATTAAAGCTGGGTGTTTCCTCCCCCCCGCCCCCATTTCATGCCTTTCTATGCACATTCTGCAGGAGAGGTACAGCTACACTGCAGTCACTGCGTGACTGCTACTTCACGCCTGCCTTGCTCTGCCACCTGCTGCTGGTGGAGGTCCCCTCTTCGTTTGAATTCTACCTGCAGACCTCGTGTTGGCTTTTCAGCGGAGTACAGTATTTGTGCTGGCAAACTGCCTGCTACCTGAGGTTGATCCATCCTCACCCAGCTGCAAGTAGAAGAAATTGTTTTATCTTTGTTACACAAGAATTGTTTGCAATGAGAAGTGAAGCAGCACTAACAAAGAGTACATTTTGCTCCAGCTGCTTATTGCAAATCAATCTGGGTTTTTTTCAGGCATATGGATATTTTTCAGAATATCCATACGGCACTGGGTTAGAGGGTACTGCGTCTGCCTAGCATGTAAGTGATAATTTTCTGTGCATTACTAGATGGTGTTTGCATGAATCACTGATTCATGAAGTGTGCATCCAACCTGCGTGTTAAGCAGGCGTGCTGCTGCCTCACAGATGCATCTGTTTGCTGCTGCCCAGCCTGTCCTCAGAAGCAAGCAAGTGCAGCAGTTCAGCAACCTGACTTGGAGCACTATGCACATCTTTTTCAATGCTAGAAAACGGTCCTTGCAACTATAACCCCCCCCCCCCCCCCACACACGTCATCTTTCTTTTTTTTAACATTTGTATA